TGCAAATTTAAATGACATATATACAAATCTGAATGAATTCGGAAATAGCATTTAAGTAGCAGAATTTAAGCTTCCATAGTAGAAGAGTTAGTTACGAGTAGAACGGATTACGCCGAGAATGAGTTATACCGCGTGTTTGAATATTTGTGCTAGCCACTTACTTTAAATTATGTTGATATTCTAGACTGGGCTTTGTTGTGTGCAGCCGATAAAGTGGATTTAGATTGAAGTAGGAGCCAGTCGTGTAGTTAAAATTTAATTAATTTTGATTGTACATACAAGTTTTGTATTAAGTTACTTAGCCACAAGTGGTGATTAGTTGTAAGCTTCGAGTGTGCATGTTCTTTTCAGTTTACTTAAAGTAAAAAAAAGGTTATTATATAATCTTCGTCGTCAGTCATGTGTTTTTTTAAGACACAGCGAGAATTCGCTCAGTAGGGTCTACATTTTATACTCCCCAATACTTTATGCAAATTTCTGACTATTTTCTAAGTAATGTAATTCTCAGTAGTTAATGAAATTTACCATGTACTTGTTAAAAGGGATTGAAATTGCTTGATAATGTTAAGAAAAAGTTAGTTTCCTTTATATGCTTTTTATCTTTTGCAATTCATTATCATAACATTGTCATAATAAGTCCGTTTTCTCAATCTAAACAATTTTACCCTCAGTAGGATGGAACTACGGTGTTAAAAACAGCTATAAAACTTAGCATGGAAAGAGATCATTCCGAATTCAGCAGAATCTCAATTATCCAACCATAACTTTACCGACATATTCTAAGGTATTTTCTCTTTCCTTTCCGTATGCCTTCGTGGTGTAACTGGAAGCATCTTTGACGCGCATTCGAGAGGTCCAGAGTTCATGTCTTGGCGAGGGCACTGCACATATTTTATACGTCTCCTGCTTAAACAAAATCCTAATGACTCTACAAGTGGCGCCCGAACTGAAAGATAGTGGGCGCTAATTCGTCACCACTAAGATTTGGCTATTGGGTTACTTAATCTCCAGTCACCTTTCAAAATGAGGAGTCTATAAAGAGTTTTCTCCCTCCTTTCCATGTGTCATCATGGTGCAATTGGAAGCATCCTCGACACGTATTCGAGAGGTTCGGGTTCGAGTCCCGGCGAGGGCAGTGCACAATTTTCGCATCACCTTCTTCAAAAAAATCCCAATGACTCTACAATATCATGAAAATGTAATTCATTACATAAAATAATAATAGTAAAAATATATTATTTTTTATAACTCTGTTGAGTGTTTTATTCAAGATATAGTGCTCATATTGCATATAAGTTAGTCACCGTTTTGAGAGCAGCGACCTTCGATATTACCAGTAATCCGATAATAAGGATACAAACTAGATTTCCTGCAATGTAGTTTGCTGAAATTTGCGAAGTATATCCTATTATTTCCTTTGCATCCATTGTGATATATAGTAACAGACGTGCTCGTATATACGAGTGGAGTACTTTTTTTATTTCAATGTTTAGAAATTACGTTTGTATTTGTAATAAAAAGCTATTTTCTATTCCAAGAGGTTAGATCACCAACCTATTTTCGGTAGTTTCTCTTTATCTGACATTACCAATTATCCATCATTCATCCTCATTTAAATTGAAAATCAGGATGCAGCACAAAATTGCTTAATAATGTTAAGAAGCATTTTAGTTTCAATGTGTTTTTAAAGCATTCGTTTCACAAATGAATTTTATATCATAATTAATTATTACTACTAAAGCTAGCTTAAATACAGGTAAAACTCAACCACAGACTGTTCTTAATTTTAAAGGAACACTGCATACTTTTCGAGATATTTTGACATGTATATTTCCTCTTTCAATAGCAAGTGTATGGTTAAATTTTACCACTTTTTGAAACAGTAGTCTTTTAACATTTTTCGGGTATCATCAGTGGCAGCCTCTTCTTATTTTTAACCGCAGCTGGCTAAAAATTCAGAACACAGTTTCACAAAGAACAAGCGTTTTTGTTTCGACATTACGTTAAATAAAAATTGTTCAAGGTGCTTTAAATGGAGCTCAAATGATTTCGTAGGAGAATACAATTATGACTAATTTATTATTATTATTTACGTGTTCCGCCCTAAGGCACAGCATGGAAAGGAGGGATGCCTTCGTGGCAAACTTTCTAAAGAAAACTGGCTCGTATTAACACGTTACACATGGGGAAAACTACAAAATCTTCCATTCAGCCAGCCCGTTCGCGGGATTCGATGCTCGCACCGAACTAGCAGTGCTCAGGAACTTTAACACTCGGCCGCTAGTGAATCTATGGCTAAATTGTTGTACCTTGTTTTAGAACGAAACAGAATAGCTTTAGAGTCTATCTGAATATTACCGAATTAATATTTTTAGATAACCCCAATGAGCTATTTAAATTATTCCTTTCTTTATTTTTCTATTTATACTGCTAAACGTTATTACAAAATATTCATTAAAACGATAAAATATTATTCTAATATAATGCATCTCGGAAACCAAAAATACTCACTTGACGAAGTATAACTTTATTAGTAATCAACATTTCTCATGCAAATAAAATTGCACCCTTACGAAGAAATCACTAAGATTAACGCACTCTGGTGTTAATGGAGTTAATTTAGGTGTACAAGTTAAAGCCACGCGATATTAGGAAATAACGAGAAGGATAATTATTAATGCCTCTCTTGTGAGATCATAATTAGGATACGTAGGTGAGTTAATTCGAACACAGACAGAATAACGGATATGGGATCAGAGATGACACCAGAACTGACTCCTAAAATGTAGAAGCCAATATAACTTCGCTGGAGTACGCACTAGACAAGGCTGCCAGTGTTTGGATTTGTACGAAGAACCTGAAAAATCATGTAATGGATTATAATCATAGTATTGTCTGAGATGGAACGAATCCCAAAAAGGTTTTTGAGCAAATAAATAGAATTGAGGTGAGTCACTGACACCTACAAACCGCATGCTTACGCAGCTAAATTACGAAGACTTTCATTACTGAGATTATTACTGCTAATTAACTCTACTAGCAATAGCTAACATAAAAGATAACATATATCTTCCTTTGTAGTGATATCGCAATAATAGATAATAATATATTCAAAATATATTTATATTATTTTATTATATTTATTTTATGTTGTGAATCTGACATGCTTAAAAACTAAGTCTAATAAACAGCGTTATTAATGCTGGTTCAAGGACTGTTACTGATTTTACGAGATATCTTACCAATTTACAATAGCTTTTAAAAGAAGCATGTGTTATTCTTTCTGATGGACCACTACTTCAGACTGCCATCCAATTCCTTTCGCGTAATGATAGATTATGTTTTCAAAATTAATATACTAATAAAAATAATTAACACAATATTGCAATTAAAGATGATAAACACAGTATCTGCTCATGCTGTTAATTCGCTCATAAATCTTCTGCATTGAATATTGACAAAAATGATATCCTACTAGTTGACAAGAAAGAGAGAGAACTGTAATTTGTCATTTGATGTATAAGTATTCAGAGATTAAAAATAAATGGCATTCCCATTAAAGCACAACACTTAAGACTATGTCCGCTTAAAAGTGCATACAGGGTGTCCCAAGAGGTCATTTACAAACTTATCATGCTTGTCTGTCAAACCATGACGAACAAGTTTTACTTAAGATCTAGCGTCCGAAAATTAAATCGTGCCATGCTGCAGCAACATGATCTACACGCAAAGATAGCTAGTCGATAGAAGCCTTAATAAGACTTTATTAAAAAAAATATTCAGATGAAGGATATAATCATGGTTACAAAAAATGTTGTTTAAAAGTTTTCCGTCCACCGCAACGTATGTTTCACAACGTCGACGCATGGATTCACAGAATCGTTCAGATCGGCCAACTGTGTCATGAACATGTGACGCGGCTTCCACGATCCTGGTGACGAGGCAGATGTGAGATATTACGGGTGGTTTCGTATACTATGGATTTCGTGCACCCCCACACGAAGAAATCCACAGGAGTGAGGTGTTGAGATCGTGGCGGCCTCTCAGTTCTCCTAGCACAGCTTCCTCTACGGCAGGTGTACACGTAGTATTTTTCTGACTCCATACACAGCCTTTTCCCCATACACGTAATGTATATTAGCCTATTTCTCGTTACTGAGCTGATGTGTACTTTTCCTGCAACATCCTCGCCTGAAATGATTCCGTTTTTCTCTCTCCAATATATATGCGAACATCGCATCCTAGCGGCAGCTGATCATGTTTTCGAGCACAATTTTCTAAGTAAAACTTATTCGTTATGATTTGACAAACCAGCCCATAAAGTTTGTAAACGGCATTTTGGATCACCCTGTATATTCCGTGAAAATACTTTCGAGAAGATGAGTTTGAATTTAATTAACACGTGGTGAAAGTTACGAACAATTTTCTTACATAATGAAAGATGAAGATAAAGCGAAGCGATAGATTACTTTGAAACGATCATCAGAGTTACATATTTTTAATAATTCAATACGTCTGAGTATAATGAGTGGCACAATGTTAAATGCAAGATATTTGGAAACCTTATTTAAAACAATTCTTATAACTTAAGACTTATGTTACAATGTCAAGGAAAAGGAATCAATCCAATAGAAGTCTCTTCGTTAATATCTGTTTAGGTTGTTCTCAAATATGAATTAACTCCCGTCATTTTCATGTATTCCTATAAATATCTTCAAATTTTCTTGCGTTTTAGTTTCTCTAATTTCGCACAACCATTAAAATATGACAATATTAAGCAATTTTAAAATCACATATTTTTTAATGATAGATTACCGAAAAATCATATCAATTACCCAGCAATAGGATTCATAAATCTTTTGAATTGAATGATAATAAAATTAACTCAATTCTTCACAGATAATCGTAAAAAATTTTATATTCTATCATCAGGCAAGTTTTCTTAAGCTATTTATCTAAACGATTTGTGAAAATAAAATTTAAAAAAGGTATAATCTTACCATTTGGGTCCTTAGCTTCGAGTCCTTGAGCTTCTACGACAGTCACATTTAAGACAGGTATTGGAGGCTGTGTGCACAGAAAGAAAAAAAAATACCTTTTTATATTTTGATTTTGTTAACTTTCAGTAATCAATTTAAAGATAAATACATCGCTGAAAAATAAAATTAAACTTTAGTTAATTAAACTATATGTAACCTTATAAGTAAAACATGTTATGCTATTATAAACACCAGAAACGTAAGGCCCTGAAATATTTTATACAAATAAATCCGATTCTATAATTAAATAATAATATTTTTATATACGAGAGAAAATAAAAATATTTGAAATTAAAGTACCTTTCTTTGTAAAGGATTACCGCAAATATTAAGGCTGCAGTATAGAGCTTTCTAATACTATGTATTATTTTCAGATAGATCTCTTGCACCACATAGCACGGTACGAATAGAATATGCTGTATTAAAAATGTTTAAATTTGAAAAGTTTATGTTAAAATTTTGTCCCAAAATTTTTATGAATTATAAAACATAAATATATACTTTGTATGAATACTAATAATTTGCAAAATTCAGGTTAAGATGATGCAATTTCATTTAAAATCAAGGCTTTCTGTAATTGAAGTGGTTTGAGTAACTGAATTTACTTTAAGCAACTGAAAAGATTTCTTGTTAATTGCATATGAAAAAACTGGAGACGCTAGGAAATATAAGTAAGTTTAAAATTGGAAAAGAAAGAGTTTGTTATTTTTGAGTTCCCTATGTCTTGAAATAAGACAGTAACTGTTTCTGTCAAGCCGGATGCCGCTTTAAATATTTGAATAACTTTTAAATTCCTTTTAGATACTTGGCGTCTTATGCATTTCCATTTACTTTTTTCTTTGATTTTTCATTAAAAAATCGCTGATGCACAAGGAAAGGCATTTAATGTTACTTTTATAAAGTCTAAATGTATTTATTATTCTTAAAAAGCTTTAAATATTTTACATTCGATAAAATTTTTAAATGCCTTTTTTTCTGCTTTTCTACAAAAGAGCTTTCACAAAGGAAAGCTAAATGTTTTATGAATTGCTGTATATAGAAAATGAATACTTAAATTTGGAGAGTACACTCTACCTGGGATTTCTTTTATGTCATAAGTATGTATATATATGAGATAAAATAAAATGTAAATGACATATGTTTTAAAATAATCCATTTCATTAAAACATTATAACGTTTTAGGCTATTTTGTGTTGATGATCTTACTAAAGATTAAAAAATTATAGAATCCGATTTGAGAATAGAATTATTTTGAGGTTATACATAAATTGAGACACACATAGTGAGGGATTTAAAAAAAATATACCAATCTCTGAAATATTTGATCTGTTACTTTACACCTGTTTATACTGAGATTAATTTATACCACTGTTAAGTGATGTAACACCATATATCAGTAAGGAACTGGTTAAGAAAATTATCAATAAAAATCGCTAGTCGTGGCAAAATAATCAACCCTCTGAAATATATTAGAAATATAGTTTATTACGTTACTCATGAAAAAAAGGTTCATTGCATCTCTTAAGTGCAGTATAAAGGTTATAATCAATGGCGAGCCGTGGTTTTTATCTAAGGAGATTAAGTATGAAGAAAAATTGTAATTCTCTCTAAAACGACCGCGCACGGAGAGTAGTGGCTATCATCTTAGAGAGGTGAAATTCAGTACTAGTATTTATTTATGATGTCCGAAACACTGGTCACATTCAGAAGTGGTGATCTGAGGGAGGTGGTCATCACAACACGATTTATTGTACTTTGAATGCAAATATTGATTATATAATTTGCCTTATGAGTACAATAATGATTAATATGACCTGATAAGTTTTTGAAAATCACTCGGATAAAGAGGGAAAGCAAAAGGATCATACCATTTTTAATCTGATAGATGTCACATAAAAAAGCAATTAGTTAAAATGTTTTTATCTTAAAAAAAAGGAGTACAATGGCTTGCGAAATGGATCACGTCTTTGTCTGCATATCATTAATCATACATGTTGAATTGATCTACCTTTGTCGTTATTTTTTGTGTCTTTAGAAAATGTATGATCCCCTCCGCAAAATCTCTGTAGACCAGCTAATTAGACCACAGATTTGTGATACCGACAGCTGATGAGCGCGTTGTTATAAGACGGCTACAGAAGTTGCTTGCGTATACTCCGTAATGATCTGTTGATGTGAGAGCTAGTTTTAGTACTGCTTTTCTCTCCATAGTTTAAACTTGAAATTACTGCATCAATATATTTTACTTCGAATTTTTTCATGGACCATAAGTTTCGATTTTCGGTTTACTTAATTATGGCAAAGCACACTAGGGCTATCTGCCTAAGAGAAGGGAGGACCTTTCAAAGGGAAACTGGCCTCGTATACACGTTACACACGGGGAAAATCACGAAAACGCCCATGCAGCCAGCCCGTTCGCGGGATTCGAACCTCCGACCGAACTACCAGTGTTCAGCGACTTTACCGCTCGGCCGCTGGTGGGCCCTTTGGACCATAAGAACGCTTTTATTTAGGCGAACTAAAATGTAATACTTAAAGGCTAATTAATTTCGCTTATAAGAGTCACGAAAAACTTAGAATTTCTTATGATCTAGTATGCCCAGTAGTTTACAACATGTCTGCGGCAGCAATGAGAGCAGATGATAGCGTGCTAATCTTCACCCTGCAAAGCAGTCGCAACTCGAGCTCCTTCCGTTCAGGCGAAATCCCGACTATCTCGACCGAAGCGTGGTTTCAAAAAGAGGTAAAATTATGAACCTTTTAAGGTTTTTGAATGCTAGGTAAAAGAGCGTTAATGTCTAAAATGTTAGAGGACTAACCTATTCCTCTAATTCAGGGGTTCCCAACGCTATGCTTGCGAATGTCCCAAACGGAAAGTAGGGATCCGGCGTATTTGTTAAATTTTTTTAAAAAATATCAAATATGATTGTTTTCAAAAACCGAATATCATAATTCAGTTGTTAATTTTTTTTTAAAAATGTCAACTATCATTGTTTTCAAAAATGAATATCACAAAATAGAAGTACAGGCTTTTCGATTTACAGAACATCTTGATGATTGCTTACGAGTAGGAACATCATCATGCTGTCTTAATTATGAAGCAATGGCCTATGAAATGTATTGCCAAATACTACATTAAAGTGACGTATTATGAAGAATTTTTATGCCAATAAATTGGAAATCAAGGAATTTGTGATATTTTGTCTTTACTATTTAGTAATTATTTACTTCACATAAGCATGCAATAAGTAACTGCTAGTTCAGAAAGACTATTAATTTTGTTTTGGCATTTTGCGTTGATTTACTATAAACGGCGAATCACTTTTTTAATTATTGCCACCAAAATATTAGAAACCTTTATTATATTTAAAGAAATTAAATAATATAGAATCTGCATAAATGTATGCATGTTTCTCGCATTGTGATAAAACAATGGTACCTAAATCCATCCAATTTTGAATAACGTAATCCTTCACCGAATATGGGCATCTGGAAGCCCCAATTTGGAATTTATTTTAATATTACAGATTTCATATTTCGTAACACTTTAACGAAATTTTGATTAACAAACTCAACTATTTCAAAGCGAGCAATGGCACCACTGTACAAAAAAAATTTATCTCCAGCGCGCGAGATTGTGTATCAGAAATTCTAAATATATGCTCATTTTAACATTATTTTGCTATATTGCCGTTGAATTGAATTTTATGGTTTAAGTGCGAAGAACATAATATTTAATAAATAAAAGTAAACACAAAGCGTTAAAAAACGCCCCTTTGGTCGCAACGTAAAATTTGAAATCTTTCTGATTTTTTTCCCTCTAGGATTTATTTTTTACATCTAAAAACTATGCTTTTTTGGATCAATACTTTTTATACGTTACGTATTTTATTAACTACGGCAACCTATAAAATTTACTTTGAAAGAATAGACATATCCGCCACCCCACCGATAAGTGTAAAAGATCGCACACTCAGTATCTGGCCAATGACTTTTTAGTATCTATTGCTGACAGGATTAACCTAGTAATTAAAAGAAAAAATCGCTTTTGATTTTACATTCCAAACAATGGAAGTGCTTACTACAAATTCTGAAAGCAGTATTACAACGTTTTTAGTAATACAAAGCTATCAATTGGAATACACGCCATAATTGAATAAATAAATAATAAATTTATTTAATGTGAGTGCTATTCTAATTCTATGATTGAAACAATTACTGCATACATTGCCATGTTATGAATCCTGGAATTTAAGTTTAAAAGCAAATTATTTGAATGCAAAAGCAAATATAGAAACTCCAGTGTCAGTCCAAATAACTTTGTTTAAACTGACTCTTCGGTTTTAACCAGAATTAATTTTTCGCTTTTCTGAAATCATAAATCTTACCCAAAGGTCTTAAATAATGTTTGATTTCCTCTACAATGTATTTCCAGATTATTTAACATTATTAATCAAAGCCAGTTAAAATCATTTAGCAAGTAAATTAAATTTGCAGCGAAAAATTGAAACAAATACGTAGCGATTTCATTTTAAATTGAAAAATTTACATGTAATTAAACTGTTACTTAGAAACAGTTCATCTTTTTAACTAGTAAAAATTACATTTCAAATCAGAATTAACTGCACAGCATATATCCGTAGTAACTTATTTGATAGCATCACATAAGCTTCGAGATGGGCTGAAATGGTTAAATCCATGTAATAAATATATGCATTTCATTACTTCTGATATAGATACGTATGGATTTAAAATAAACTTCAGCAAAGTATTTAGAATATAGTCAACTAAGGTGAAATATAATCTTGTAAATAATGAATAATACTTCGATGAATAAATAAAAAAAAACCATTGAAAAATGAAGAATAGTAAATAAACAATTATTTTCAAGCTCCCAAAATCGTTGTCGGACTTTTCTCTCATTTTGAAAACCTTTTGGTTCCTAATGCCATGTTTCTGTGCATAAGGAGCAAATAAAACAAAATTAAAGATGAGAAAAGAAATAATTACATTTTAATTGTGTACTTT